ACACAAGACACAGCATCAGATAAGTATCATTACAAATAGATAGAAGGGATCCGTAATAAAACGCAGCTGGATGACTGATATCATATAAGAGTATAAATATATCTTCAAATGTCATACTAGTAGATTTGAAGAGATCGTGCGTTGAAAAAAAAATTACAAAGCTTATGAGGCAAGTGCTTCCTAATAGTTCTCAAGAAATTGATCTTCTTGTTCTTTTTCATGAACTTACATGTGAGATGTAACTTTATTTTTCGATTGTTGTTTATAATCATGTATGTCTTGTAAACTGATATTATTTTGATGAGAAAGGTCAACCCCATGATCGCGCCGATGATCACTTTTTAATTAAAATAAATTTGATTTTTATTAATTTCCATCATTCTTTTGCCCATCTGCTCCTATTTCTTCTTGTTGGGCAGTTCAAGCACCCTTTCTGTAAGAAACGATGATGCCTCGTCCGGTTTTTGGATAAAAAAGAAAAAATACCATCCAGATGTCAACAACCTCAGCCACCCTAAAAAAATGTTTTTTTCCCACACTTGTTTTCTGGGCCTACAGGCATACACTAAAGAACAATTTTAATTACTGAGTACCACTGCAAAAACAACAGTAACAATAGCAACAGGGAAGACATCGATATTCAGTGAAATTGAATTTTTACAATTTAAATCCCTAAAAAGGTTTATGATGCCACTTTAAGACTATCGATTGGCAGACTAACAGCGAAGAGCATGCGCATAATGGAAGAAGATGGGCACGAGAGAACAAATTTTCTAGTGAGAGAGCGAAAATACGGACGAGAGCTGCCTCTGCTCGGTTTCCAAAGCGTGAGTTTTCGTTCGAACATACAGCTTCTTCTCGGTCCATACAACAGTTAAAAAAAAAACCGCCAATATCCAGCCGTTTTGACCTTGCGTTTGATAAATAGCGCAAATTTCTAGGAAAATCCTTTATAAATAAACGTAACCTGACTGGTGTTGTGCATGTATGAGAGAGATCAAGTGACCTTCTACATTCCACGCATCTTCCATTTCAAGGTAATCCCAAGTCGCACTCAAAGATACTGATTCCTTGATATCACGTAACGGAACTTGTTTGTCGTCTACTTACCAAAGTTTGTGTAGCTTCGAAGTAAAGGTAAGTGTAATTTGGATTGTTCAAACTTAGATAACCCAGTAAATCATTCATTGTTAAGGTATCTGGTGTTGAACTCGGTCTTATATGTTGAATTCAAGTCATCAAGTAGTTCCCTGAGGAGATATAGAGCATATTTGATTATCTGGCGGCATCAAAAAATTACTTGCATCAAATATTTTTATGCATGCACCTTATAAATGCACCTTTAGAGTGTGTTTATTCTCGACTTTGTTGAAAATGCTCTTTACTCTATCATGGTATCTCCAATATTAACAATCAAAAACCTTAAGATCGCAAAGAGAAGAAACCTTGCATTTAGATGGTTTGCATGTTTGATTTAGATTAAACATTCCTAGTTACATTTTCTGTCACGAGCAATCGTTTGATCCTTTAACCAACACATTTTGTCGACCGTCGCAATTGATCTACTATTGCCTCCAAAACATAAAAATTTGAAACATACGTATGGCACCACTTTTATTTCATTGGTACTCATTGTCAAAATGTTGCCAAATCGAAAACGATTACCGTGAATCAAACACAGTTTGGGCTAATTACCGAGAAATGGTCAAAACCTTTCGCTGCTAATTGAGAGGGGAATCATTCTTCAAGGCTCTCGCAGGATGTCTACAACACACTTCAGTTTAGTACAGTCCATTACGGTTATAACACTGTGAACATGCACACGCAAGAAAACTGGAAATGTTGAATTATTTTTATTATTTATGCAAGAGGAACAGAGCTCGAAAAATCACTGAAATGCTTCCTATCATCGTTTCATTGAACTCTTCCACCGCATCAGCACGTTCGAGAGTATTTTGGTCGATACTTTTGCTTCAGGGTTGGGAATCAAATGAGCTATCTCGCTTTTTTATTTAACTCATTCTAGATCTCTCAGACACGGGAATTCGAACCGAGCGCGGCTGCCGAAGGAAAAGAAGCTTTGACGGGAACAATACCCTAACACCATACGCAGTATATGAGCCTGTTTGATAACGAAAAGAACGATAAGAAATCCCATCACTTACCGTTACAACTATCTCTGAGGCCGACTTTTGAAAAACATATGTCCGAGAAATCTTCACCGAGGTAAAAGGCGAAATATTAACTCAAGGTTGACGAAATTGCATTAAATTTGGTGTCGAGTTTCGGCTTCCCGGATTTCCGATTTTCCGAGAATCTGACCTTTAGGAAAACTTCTCCTGGTTTTCACGACGTTTGGCAGAGTGAAAAAATATAGTAAATGTGTCTTTAAAAATTCTGAAATGAACCAAAATGATTTAATAATGATAAAAAGCCGAAATTTAAAACCAGTGAAATTTATCGGGCATTTCAAGTATGGCGATCAGAGGAAAAGGATAGCAATAGGATATTACACGAAGCGATTTTCGACCCGAAAGAATGAGAGAATTGTAAAAGGGTTATTTCTTCAGAACATTGCCCATATTATCTAAATTAAAGCCAAACAGTGATAAATGTGAAAATGGAAAGGATTTTCCCAAGCTGTTACCCTTGCTTGCTTATGATGATTTATCTCCTGTTTCGAAAATTTTCAGCGTGCGCAGTGAACGTATCATTTATATTTCAATTGTATAGACAACACTGTCGTCATGGTAATCGGATTTATCACATGATGAGCGTTCTAACTTTTAACGAAGGGCCCAATTCAAAACATTTCTAAGGTTACGTACAACTTTTGTTGAAAGGAGAACATGTCTTTTTTTTTAAGAAGAGCTTGTTTTGTTTTCATTTCTGAATTTGAAGTAGCAGGTGATCTAGCTGCATGATCGTGAGATTCTCGTTACTTAACTACAATATATATATATTCTTAATTACCAAATATAAATAGTAATATATACAGTAATATATATATGGTGTGTGCGTGTTTATATATATTTATATATATCATAACTTGCGAGTTACAAGTCTGCATATGAATACGATACGGTTTTACCATCTTGTGTTCAGTTGTTGTCTTTCACTTTTGCTCATCACTTACTTGTGACAGAATTATCAATACTCGAAGAAGCATCCGCGTTTTGGTACACTAGTGAGCTTGATTATCAAATTAATTTGGGCACAGCAAGTCTGTAAACCAGTCCAAAGAGGTCTCTCTTTTCTTTACCTAGGTAGGGATTAGTCCTTCCTTCCTTTCAACTAATCTGAGGAAAATAACTAGAGAACTTTTAACTTACCGAGATGCAGTCACGTAACGGAGATGACGTCAAATATTTCTTCATAGTGAGCCAATACAGCCGCGGTAGAATGGTTATTAATATTCGTAAAGGCGTCAAAGGTGGAGTTCTTGAGATCGTGAAACCAGAACGTGGACGGGAAAGTCAGCTGTGGAGATGGGATGAGAATTGTCGGCTGGTCAGCAAACTGGGCCTTGTGGCAGATATGAAAGGTCGGCTGGTCAGCAAACTGGGGCTTGTGGCAGATATCAAAGATCAGGTGGTCAGCAAACTGGGCATTGAGGCAGAAGAAGTCTGTCATGCCTGGAAAGCTCACAACGGCCTCAGCCAAAAGTGGCGAGTCGAAAAAGCAGCCATTGTGAGTAATTCGAGTCATCTCGTTATCGATGGTTCGCCTCCCACTGCTCAGGTATTCATGAGAAAATTCAAGGAAGACAGTGAACACCAAAAATGGCATTTTGTTCCAGAAGAGGCATGGGACGACTTCCAATTATCACTGACAGATCCAAATCCTCTTAAAAAGGCACTCTTCTGGAAAAATGTGGCTGACAAATATCTTGACGTCATCATAGGATACAGTTTTGAAGAGTACCAGACCAAAGTATGTAAAGTATTTGAAGACATAGATGAATGTATCAGCCGCCTCGAGGAGGTAGTGAAGGGTACTGGTATTGCACAGATAGTCGGTGGAAGTGTGGCTGTCGCTGGAGGTGGGGCTGCGATAGCTGGTTTGTTGTTAGCTCCGTTTACAGCTGGCGTTAGTTTGGCTCTCACTGTAGGAGGAACTATCGGTTCACTCACAGGGAAAGCTACATCATTAACAGCAAAAATGGTAGACCACTATCTGGGTAGTGAGAAGAGAAAGAACGTCCATGAAGGCATAGCGTCTCTCCACTCTACCACCTGTAGCTTCCACTCGCTGCTGAGTGAGTATGGTAAATGCTTTCAACAAGTGGATGAATGTTTAAGCAAACAGGAGCATGAACAACTATTGTTTCATGCAAAATCTATGGCAGCAGAGAAGTGTACATTACTTGACAAGGGCTACGACACCGTCGAATTTGTTAAAAGTATTTACACCAACCCCAAGGAAATAAAAAGGCTGGCCACGTTTATGGAGATCGATTCTTTTGTGTCCGATGGAGGAGATGTCGGAATTTCCACAATTGCTGCAGCACCTGATGTTACCATCCCAATCGTGGGAGACACTCTCCAGGCCGCTGGAACAACTGGTGCAGAGGTTCTTTCCGGATCGTTCCTTGGTTTTGGTGTATTGACTAGCATGAAAGATATTTATAATGGTGGAAAGCAAATCGCGAATTACGGTGAATTTCGAGAATTTTCTAAAATTTTGAGAGAAAAGGCTCATAGACTAATACGCCTATACAAGGAACTAAAGATAGAGAGCATGGAGTAATGTTACTAAAAATAAGCTTTGAATGATGTTGAATTTTTTTCAACAGTGTGACTAGAACTCAGTGGTGCCTTGCAGAATTTGAAATGCAACACTAGCCATGTTGTCAGATAACGTTCATGTATCACCATATTATGACGTAGCTGTTACACTGTAGTGTTACATCCTTGTTTTGCAAGTTCCGTCGTGCTTTTGCGAGCTCTGTATGAGCGCAGAAAACGACGAGTGTTGAGAAAGACGCACTATATATTTAACGATTGCGCAGCTATAAAAGTAATTTTTAAACGTGTGTAAGTCAACAAAATTTATCTGGTACTTATTCTTATAGATATAGCTACATATATCATTGTTATGCCCTAGATAATATAATTTACGTTTACATGCGCACATGCGGCATATGAGGGGCGCTAAAACAAATGAAACTGTCTACGTTGATCAACATTGGACACAAGACAGATTAGAAAACTATTACTACAAAATAAATTGGAAGAATAGGATGCAAAACGCAGTATTACCTGAAATCATATAATAATGATAGGATTACACAGATCTCAGAGTACAAATTAGGTTATTAATCTTTCAAAGTAGAGGTGCTTCCTAACAGCTTTCAAGTAATTAATTTTTTTTTGGCCTTTTCTTAGACATAGATATGGGATAACTTTATCTCATTAGTAGTTGTTTTACAACATTGTAATGTAAAGCGGTTTAATTTTTGATGAAAAAAAAAAGTTAAACACCATGATCGATTTTGATGTCTAATAATCATAATTTACTAATCATTTTACTCATAATTTGACCCGCCTGCCCCTATTTGTAAGGGATGAGTTTTGTCAATTACAGTGATACAGTTTTCGGGTGAAAGAAAAAAACAACAATTCCCCCCGGATGTCAACAACTACAGCCACGCTTTTTCAAGCTGACTTCATAACCAACAAACCGGAAGAAGCGTTCCCACCTGACCGCTTCTTGGTTCGCCGGGTCTAAGTTATATTTCGAAGAACAAGTCATGACTATTAACATAAACAAAACAGTTTTGTACAGTTTCTGCTCCAAACGTTGTAGCAGTCATCAGTCATTTCTTAGTTTCCCTAATCGCAAGACACCTACAAATTCTCAAAAAAATAATTAGATTAAGAACAGTTGTGAAAAAAACAAGCGCTGAATGAAAGACGGGGGAAAAAATGCGCCGCTCGGCTTCCCTCCTGAACATTACTTTGCAGTGACAGAAACGTCTCTAAAACCTGAAAACTAAGAGGATCTCAATGGGGTTAACCACTAGCCATAAACCGGCCAAAAAATTAAGTTGTCAGGCGTAAAAATAGACAAATTTTAACCCCTAGCCGTAAAAAATGTTCGCGTGATTTTTTTATTTTAATCGCAGCCCGAAGAAATAAACTGTTGGCCGTTAAAACTGCCAAGATATTAATCGTCACCCTTAAATACCATCATCCTATTGAGACCCTCGACTAACAGTTAATTAGTGGAAAGATCTTTTAACCCTTTAACTCCCATGAGTGACCAAGACTGAATTTCTCCTTACAATATCAATACAATATCAAACAGATAGGTGATGGGAATAGAGAAAAATATCAATTTGGGGATAATTAGTTGATCCAACACTAAATTCTCTGAACTAACATTATATGAACTGCATGGTTAACAGTAAGGAGAATTTAAAATTTGATCTGGGAATTAAAGGGTTAAGGTTGTAAAGCCGTGTGTCAACAAATGATTGTTATTTTCCTTCATATGATACTTTTTTACATCGGAATGTAAATTTACAGTCCCAGTCCTGCCCGGAGGCTGTGACCGCCGGACAGTGAGTCATTTTCTAGGAAACGTTTCCAGAAAGGCTTAATAACTGGCTTTGTTCCAAAGAGATAACTCAGTTTAAACTGAAATCAAGTTACCTTCTACTTTCTACGAATCTTTCGTTTCAAGGAAATCTCAAGGTGAATGCAAAGATACTGATTCTTTGATATGATGTAACGAAACTTGTCTGTCGCCTATTCAGCAAAGTTTGTGCAGCATCAAGAAAAGGTAAGCATAATTTGGATCGTTTAAAGTCGTGTATATATCCTATTTGATCATTCCAGGCTGAATAAATCTGGCGTTGGACATATGTTAACGACAATATGGGGGCATGATAACAATGTTTGCAGTAGATTAATCATGTATGTTATAGTACGTTTGTTCTTGACTCAGTTGAAAACGCCCTTCAGCCAAGTTTGACTGTATCGCCGCCTTTTCAACTCTGCAAATAAAATTTGGTTGCCATGTTAATTTGATCATTTCATTAAACATTTCTCGTCATCAATGGTTGTTTGATCGTTAAGTTACCCTATAAGTACGATGATGATCGAAATATTTGCTCGTAAGGGCCTAAGTCGTCGAATTTACCAACTTGTGCCTCCGAAATATCAAATGTTTAAACATCTATGGCGCTACTTGTATTTATTCCGACCTCACAGCCTGAATCATGAGTGACTACCGTGAATAAATCACAATTTAAGCTCATTACCGAGAAATGGCTGAATGCTTTCGCTGCTAATTGAGAAAGGAATCGTTCTTGCAAAGGACATCCAAAGAAATAATGTCAGTGCAGTCCATTACGATGATCACGCTTTTATACTACGAACTCATGCATGCGAGACAAGCGGATGTTTTGAATGACCTTTGTTATTTGTATTTACAAAAGGAACAGAGATCGAAAACCAACCGATTTTCTTCTTATTGTTTCATGAACTCCTACTCCATATCAGTAAGTTCAATAACATTCAGGTGGACATCATTTTTGCTTGCTGCTTTGGAAATAAAATAAGTTCGCATAAATGTATCAGTGCTCTATCAAAGAACTTTGATCAATTCGCATTTAGGCTTATTTTGTGTCCTTCAAACTGCCTTCGGCGCATGGGACCAGCTGATTTTTGTTAATTTTATAAGCATTCCGCTTTACAATTTCTGTTTCGTCTGAACCTCAATCTGACCCGGCTCGCTTTATTGTTAAGCTCGTTCTAATTGTCTCGGACACGGGAAACAAAACCCGGCGACAGCGACCGCCGAAAGAAAAGAACATGTAAACGAACACGAAGCAATACCTTATCAACGCACAAAGCATTTTATGTTAGCTTAAAACGAGCGAAAATAAGGAAAAGAAATCCCGTTTCTTACCAGCACAAGTATTTCTAAGACCGAGTTTTGGAATACACATGTGTGAGAAAACTTCACCGAACACAATTAAAGGCGACTGAATTGCAATGACTCAAGGTTGACCAAATCGCAGTTCGACTTGGTGTTGGATTTCGGCCTTTCCGGGATTTCCTGTTTTCCGGGAATCTGGCCTTTAGGTTGACTTATCTTGAGTTTCATTACGCTGGCAGAATGAAACAAAAAAAATGCCAAAAATGTCTGTAAACTTTTCACAAATTATCAAAGTGATTGTGATGACAATAAAAGGCCAATCAGACGAAAAGTAAGCAACGCGAAGTTACTCGAATAAAGCGAGTTTCAATGCAACGACAACATTCGGGAAAATCCAGCAAATTGTCAAAGATTTGTTTTTCTCAAAACGCTGCCTATCACCTCAAATAAAAGGCCAAATCATCATGCAGAAAACGATAAGAGTAAACTAGGAAAGAGGTTACAAATGGCAGAATTCTTCCTATTTCAACTTTTTTTCAAGAATACACTTCTTAGTTCTGAGAACTTGTTTTCTTCGGCTCTGCATGACTCTCGTCTGCTCATTCAATTTGGATATGTGATTGATATCTATACGATAAACAGAGTAGTATAATTATGTCCTTATGTGGATACTTATTTACCTTTTTGAGATGATAATATCTCTTCGAGTCGTTCGCCTGACTTGTGAAGGAAATCATCAACACTCAGTGGCCATGCAATATCCTTAATCGTTTATGTACTAATGAATTTGAGTGTAACATTTGGCCATAACAAGTCTGTGATCAGGTCAAGCAGAGGTCTTTTTTTCGTTACTTAGGTAATAACCCAGTCTGACGTTCGTGACAGAGGGGATTAATCCTTCCTCCACTCCAACGGGTCTGTTAATTAACGAGCCATTGACTAACGGAGATGGCGCCACGTAACGCAAATGACGCCAAATATTTCTTCATAGTGAGCCAATACAGCCGCGGTAAACTGGTTATTAATATTCGTAAAGGCATTAAAAGCGGAGTTCTTGAGATCGTGAAACCAGAACGTGGGCGGTCAAGTCAGTTGTGGAGATGGGATGAGAGTTGCCGGCTGGTCAGCAAACTGGGCCTTGTGGCAGATATCAAAGATGAGAGTAAGAAGGAGGAAGCCGTCTGTCACGCCTGGAAAGCTCACGATGGCCTCAGCCAAAAGTGGCGAGTCGAAAGAGGGGCCATTAAGAGTAATCTGAGTCATCTTGTTATCGATTGCTCACCTCCCAGATGTAATATTTTAATGAGAAGCTTCGATGAATCCAAGGAACACCAAAAATGGCATTTTGTTCCAGAAAAGGCATGGGACGATTTTCAACTTTCACTGACAGAGCCAAACCCCCTTAAAAAGGCACTGTTCTGGAAAAATATGGTTGAAAATTATCTTGACGTCATCATGGGATACAGTATTACAGAGTTTGAGGCCAGAGTCCAAAAAGCTTTTAAAGTCATAGATGAATGTACCAGCAGACTAGAAGAGGTAACAAAGGGTACTGGTATCGCAAGAAAGGTCGGTGGAGGTGTGTCAGCCGTGGGAGGTTTAGTTTCTGTGGTTTGTCTTTCGCTGGCTCCATTTACAGGCGGAGCCACCTTGCCCTTTGCTGCAGGAGGAGCTGTCGGTATGTTCACAGGAGCAGCTGCATCATTTACAACCAACGTGGTGCACGGCCAACTGGACGAGCAGAGCAGAAGAAAAGTGAATGAAGCCACAGCATCACTCTTCTGCGCCACTTACCTCTTCCACTCGCTGTTGGGTGAGTGTAGTAAATACCTGCAAGAAGCGGATGAATACTTAGAAAGGCTGAAGCATGAAACGAGCACAGAATCCTATTCCAAGGATATCGCGACCGGCCAAGCCGAGGAAATAAAAAGGCTGGTCGCGTGTACTCTCTCAGTCGAAGGCGAAACCCTTTCAACGGCTGGATTAACTGGTACAATGGCTCTTTCCCGAGCGATGGCTGGTTTTGGAGTGCTGGCCGGCATCGTGAATATATATTCAGGAGCTAAGACGATCGCCAGCAGCGAAGAACTAGCAAAGGAATTCCGTCAGTCTTCTGAATGTCTGAAAAGAGAGGCTGATAGACTCATACGCCTATACAAGGAACTCCACCAAGACAAACAGAGTAGAAAGTAGTGCAGTCTCAACCAAGAATTCCATCAAAATGAAGAGGGCGAGGAGTCATGTTTTAACTACGGAAAGTTAGCTTAGACTTATGTAATCGCTCGAGAATGCTTATGTTCATATTACAGATAATGATAACTGCAAACGTAGTCATGATGTAAAACTACCAAAATATAGTTGTGTTGTAAGCTTCCGGAATGTTCTCGAGTACTTTGCAAATTAATGTAAGGACTTAGTCGTAAAGTAATAGTTTCTGTTGTCGGGAGTGACCGACTATTTAGAAACCTATACCAAGAATGAGCTACAGTTCATTTCGAGGAGATTTGGAGATAACTGTGAGATTGTGTGAGAGGTGAGCTAAGATATAGCAAGAGTTTCAACGCAGCAAAAAAATCCTAGAAAATCTCTTGGATGAAAGGGTTCGAATTAACTTTGTCAGTAGTTTTGTTTTCTTTTTTTAGGATTGATTAAGAGCTTAGATTCATTTCTCGACAGTATGGTTTTTTCATGGAGAAGTAGGACTTTTAAGCTTATCTGGTAAATTGTCCTGAATTCCGGCTTAGAAATTGATTGTTTGCTTGTGGTGTGTAAAAAGAAACTATTGTGTAGACTCTTTTCGCTGTGTGTATTCTAGCTGCAAGAAAGCGAATTGATTCATCGGCATCAGATCAACTGAAGCAACCAACCTCAATTAACTTAGTAAGTACAGTAGGTAGGTAAACTTTTTCTAACGAGAATAACATGTACAGTAGACGAGGGTCTGAGATGAGGGGGAGGGGAATCCTTGTGTCGGTTGTCGGTTAGAATTTCATCACTTAGTCTTAGCTTTTCGTCGGTAGTCGTTAGATGTCCGTTAACGATTTAAAATGCAGCTTAATCATTAACATTTACTGGGTAGTTAGTGGGATCGAGTACCAGACGCTATTCTGGAAACGAGCCCGCGCTCCTAACTAGCCATAAAGTAAGTTTCATGACTGGAATTCTATAATTAACTGAGCTAGAATGCTCTTCTTTCTGAATACAAATATCGATAATATCGGACCATGTCGGTTAGTACTTACTTGTTGATAATTGGTAGCTTTTCCAAGTTGGCTTTTGCATAATTGTCAGTAGTCAGTCATATTTTCGCCCTTTTTCGCCAGTGTGTTTTACCATATTTAGACCCTATTAGACAGTAATCAAAGTGATGAACTCATGACCCTCAGAATAACTGGAAATCGAAATAAAATAGCAACAGTAATTGTAAGACTGAAGACTTGAGATCAGTTAGTTGGACTTTTAAATAAACGATTGTGTACATACATCCAGATTCTCGATTGCCTCATTTCACCGAGTAGGAATTAACAATCGAAAAAGCGTAGCCGAGCGGGAGGGGACCCATGTGTGCCTGTGACCCCGGCCCTCTGTGAGAAACCTCATACTTTCAAATGCCAAAATAAAACTTCTTTGTAAATAATTGTGGAAAAAAATATAGATACTACTGCCACGGATTGGCAGAAAATAAATGTATCTCCCAAAATCCCCTCTCCCCCCTCGTCACTTCTCTAACGGTCTTGTCGCGAACGAAAACAATGCTGACTAGCCATGAAAAGCGTCACGCTCTTATATTAGTATCTTTATCTTCTTTTCTTCGATTCAAACTATAACAGTGTGAAAAGCATGAAACAACAACAACAACAACGAAAACGAACAAACCAAAAAAAAATCACCAAAAAAATAAGGTTCCTGAGTTCGTACACTCTCCCGCCAAATTTGACTTTGTTCCCAGGCCTAAACTGTCCGCATTTTGAGTTGCCACGGAAAAATGTAAATTAGTCGGAGGCAGTTTATGAAAAATACTAAGCAGAACTAAGCATCAACCAGGTGAATGTACGACAACAATGAGCGACACATCATTCCAATTAGCGTCTGTTTGGGTGCGTTGTTAAGGGATTTACACCAGCGCAACAATACTTGAAACATTTTGGACAGAGAATAAAAATATTCGCCTCCGCATCATCTATTTCCGAATTGAAAATGGTTTTCTATAATCGAGTGATGGTTCGGACACGAAAGGATGGTTCTTGATCCAATTCATATTGACTTGTAATACTTTAAGAAGCTTTTTCCTACTAACAAGTTGTTGATTTAGGCTTACGTTACCTAATTCACCTCGGCGATGACCTCTGTGAGTTCCACTGTTACAACCGGTCGGCGAAGGACTTCTAGTTCCTCTGATGTGATGGCGTCGATGACAGCTGCGAGAGCTGCAGCGACATATTTCGACAAAATAGAACGTTACGAGTTGCAAGAGACACTTGCTTATACTTCAAGCGACTGGCTGCTTTCGACTGAAGACACGAGGATTTCTGTTGAACCGCCACGCGGACTGATCGCCGGGATTCAAATCCCGAGTGATTTCAACAACTGTTTGATTCTTATACCTGAAGAAGAGGGCATCGAACCGTTGGAATTGCGAGAAATGCATCAGATCGTACGTGAACTGGTCACGGGAATTTACATTTTGAATCAAACGCCGTCGATTACTTTGGAAGCGAATTACGATTGCAGCACATCATGTCAAATTCCACCAGCTTACTATGACACGCGAATCGGCCAGATATTGACAGACGTAGATTATATGATGAAGAGTCTTTGGCATGGGGCATACTTCCCAAAAGATAAAAGAACTAAATTTGCTGAGCGATGGAGGCAGGCTGTGAATCTAAATACAACAACTGGAGAGCCAGAAACACGAAGAAGCTTGCAACTAGTGTGGACAGAGGCTGGTATTTTAGATTTGGCTATAGATCCTGAACTGACTGAAGCATACAATTCAATCCCTGATGAAAACAAAGATGACCTAGATGCTACTGAAGAGAAGAAACATTTTATGAAGCATGTGGATGAATTAGCGCTCAAACTGACCTTATTTCAAAACACTGTCACTCAACATCAAAACATATTTTTGACAGATGCCAATTATCACATTTCAAGCATTGTTAAGTCAGATAAAATTGATCTTCAAAGTTACGAAAAGCTGCAGAGAAGGCTTGGAGTTCACCAAGAGTTCATCAGGAACACCCTGCTTCTCAAACCAGACATAAAACGACAGCTATGTCTGCTTAAATTTATTAGTTTCATGGTGCCATTTTTGATTGCAATCAAAAAACGTTGCAAGGTTCCAGATGTTAACAAACTTCTTCCACCATTTACTTTTGAAGAGTGCAAAACTGAGCGTGAATTTCCACCTCTGATCTTGAGACCTGAATTCAAGTGTAAACACTTTGATCATTCAGAGAAATACTTTCATTTGCATGGTGGAATTTCCTTTGTCCGTGAAACCCCACCTGCTCAGAAAATCTCTGCTGCAATTGTTGCAGAGCAAGAAAATCTGGAATATGTTGCATCTGATGCTTATAACAAAATAATGAGCTCAGACACAGTCATGTTGGAAAGCTACCCAATGGCAGCAATTGAAATTGATGGTAAAAGTTATTTTGTGCTGAACATTCACCTGGAGACCTTTTACCCTGTATCACCAAAGCATCCATTGTGGATACATGCACATTATGATGAAATTGTAAAATTGAAACCTAAAAGGCTTCCTGTGCATGAGCTCCAGATTCATGAGCAATTCAAAAAAAGATATGGCTATCAAAGAACTGTGAAACTCAAACAGATCCCTGCTGGGTTGCAAGCAAGTGCTCATAGAGGGCTGGTCTCAATATTTCACACCATGACTCGTAGATTGCCACCATCACGTCTGACAACTCAAGACTCTTCTGGTCTGTCCCTCATTCATCATGCAGCCATGTTCAACAGACCACAGATTATTACCATGCTGGTAGTAATGGGTTTTGATGTAAATGTGCGTCGCTACAATAACATTTCATCACAAGGGGTAAGTCCACTGCATCTGGCAGCCAGATGCGGTGCTTTAGACAGCCTTGTGTGTCTGGTGACATACAAAGCTGATGTGATGATGTTTGACAGCCAGGGATGGGTGTCTGTTCACTATGCTACCTTTTTCAACCATGTTGACTGCCTTCTGCATCTAATTCGCCATGAACCCAAACTACTAGAACTCAAGTCCAATGATGACTTAGAGTCCACTCCAATTCTTTTAGCTGCATCCAGTGGGGCATTGGACGCTGTGAAATGCCTGATTGAGCAGGGAGCACAGTATACCTCTATAGACAAGGAAGGAAATGGAGCTGTTCATCTTGCTGCTCTTCACTTTCACACCAACACACTGAAATATTTTATCAGCTGGAACAATGATGATATCCCGGTGTGGGACCTCCTTGTTGGTATGTTGAAGTCTGATGACATCAAGAGGAAGCATAGTGCCGTTAAATGCCTGGAGGTCCTGTCTCTTGCAGCAGAAAACAACTGGAAATTCATCCTGATGGCAGAAGGTGTTCCAGCCCTTGTTGATCTTCTTCGACTTGATAATGTGGAGCTACAATCTCTTGCTGGATCTGTTTTGTGCAACATTGGAAGTCACAATGAGGTCAGGGTAGAAGTGTCTAAAGCCAATGCAATTCCTGTTGTTGTCAGTCTTTTGGCATCACCTGTTCCCATGATCCACTCTCGTGCTGCTGTCATCCTTGGAGACTTAGCTTGCCTTGATGTCAACCAAGGAAAGATCTCTGAGGAAGGTACAAATATGATGAGGGTACACAATCCTGAATAGTTACAGTTGAATCATATTGAATTTCATCAACTTTCTAATTTTTTGTTTAAACCAGAGCACATCTTTATGGGTAGTGATACACTGTACATGTACATGTAAGTGACATGTTTCCTCTACAGAGAGAAGTTGTGTTATCACTGTATATGTTTGTGGAGGGAATTTTGTTTCCTGTTAGGGCTGATAACCCTTCGAACCCCAAGAGTGACCAGCATCTAATTTCTTCTTACAATGTCACCCCTGAATCACGCATAAAGGTAATGAGAAAAAATTAAATGATCACCAACTTAAGATCTGAAGCTCCTGATTGTTAAACAAATTCTCCTTGTCAGCACCTTAGGAAAACTATAGAGAACAGTATGAAGAATAAGCATAGTGATATTAGGGTGTAAATGAACTACACTGTACAATCATAGTGGGTAGGCTGAAATAAGCTTGCCTATTGTTCCCCATGGAAAATAACCAACTATGCTTCATCACAAGGTTTCAAGACATTGCATTTGTTTCTTTTAGTCACAGTCAATCCTTCATGTTTAATTTGCAAGTAAAAATGATATCAGATTAGATTGACTTCAAATCACTTTGTTTTGTATTTTCTTTTGAGCACTTCATTTATATTACAATTTACAATAATCTCTAAAAGTTCAGGGAGAAAATAAAAATCAGATTGACCCTCTACACACTAACATCATAATGCATATTCTCCCTATTGTTCCTTATATAATTATTTCCTGATGAGAAGTTTGTTTTAGGATCAAGAGCTGCTTACTTTAGTTGATGATCATTTTCTTTATTCTTGTGATCTCAATGTGTGATTCAGGGGAGATATAGTGAGGAGAAATTAGATGCTGGTCACTCTAGTGGTTAATAAGGTATTGAACAGGTGTACTTAGTATCTAATATAGCAGTTTGTGCCCTCAAGTGGATCTGTTTATTTCTTAATCTTTTAGGGGTAATTTTTTTCTGATTTCAGGCTTCAGGTGTGGTATACATGTATTTACATTTTTTATAATTTTTATTAGGTGGAATACAATCACTTGTTGTGCTCCTGGACTCTAAACTTGAACATGTGTTGGTGAATTGTGTCAATGCACTCAGGGTCTTGTGTGATGGTAGCTATGACAACCAGACAGCTGTAGCCCAGAGTGGAGCTGTGGACACCCTAACAGAACTTCTAAGTAAGAAAAATCTATTGTCACTTGGTTTGGAAAAATGTCAACAAGGAGATAATTAGTTGATCTAATACCAAGTTCTCCAAACTAACATTGTAAGAATTGTATGGTAGACCGTACAGAGAATTACCAATAAGATTTTTGCACTGCAACACTTTACCAGTGAGCCACAGGGAACTCAATATGGAGCATGGCCATTGATATTCAGTCTTATTACTGTTCAGGTGCAAAGTCAAAGAACCTTCAAGCAAACACTGCAGCATGCCTGAGTGCTCTGACTAAGGACCATCGGGAAAACCAAGATCTGGTCGTAGCCAAAGGAGCTGTTAAGCCACTAGTGTCTTTAGCAAAGAGTACCAAGACACTTTGCCAAGTGAAGGCTGCAAGTGCCTTAGAATCACTTGCTACCAGTAACCCAGAGGCACAAAAAGAGATTGACGCAGCTGATGCCCAGAG